ACCTTTATATACAGCATATTTAAAACAAATGAATAGAATACATCCAGAATTAATGAAAGGAAAATCAACAACTAAAACTTCATCATCCAAAATCAAAGCAGATAAAATTAAACCACTTGCAACACCAAAACATCCAACGGTAGTACCTCCTCCTTCAGTTAATCCTTCATCATTTACTTTATTATATCCATTTCAAACATTAAAGAAACAAAAAGATTTTAAAAAGGATTTCAAGATATTAAATAAACCAATTGACCCGAAAATTCAACCGTTAAAGGAAAAATTTAGTCGCCCTTCATTTGCACCATATCCATATTCATACGAAATCGATCATCTGGAATATTCAAAAGGAAACGTTACTTATTTATTTGCCATTAACATTAACACTAGATATTTATATTGCATTCCAGTGAAAGGGAAAACAGAACAGGAAACAAGAAGAGCTATTCAATACTTACTAGATCATAAAAGAGTAGATAATATAAGGGGTGATGGTGATAAAGGATTTCAGGCAGCTATGGCTCATTATTTCCCACAAATTAATTTTTACTTCTCATCTTCTCCATATACGTTTCATAATAAAATAGTTGATGCGGTAATGAGAACTCTTAGAGATGCGTTAGGAGTTAACGGTCGGATATACTGGGATGGAAATCATGACTCCATCATACAGCAGTTAGTATATTATTACAATAATACATGGCATAGAACTATAAACATGAAACCAGTGGAAATGAAAAATGATATTTCAAAAGAATGGGAATATATTAGAAAGCAAATGGAAAGGTTAAATGATGTTAAACGTGAACAAATTAATTCGGGGCTCATGAATTTTAAACAAGGGGATAAAGTTTTGATTCATCTCGATTATGGAAAAACTAATAAATCAATGACAAAAAGAAGACGAAGATTTGACACAATAGCTGATTTTGTTAGATATATTAACGGCAATGCATTAGTTGAAGTTGACAATAAATTAATAGAAATTCCGATTTATTTTATTACTCCATTATATTTAAATAATATTTAATTTTTTTATTTCGTAAGAAATGAGTGACAACAAAGCAGCCAAGAGTCCTGATTCAATTAAGATTCAGAGTCCAGACAATGAATATAAAAAGAAACTAAACAGAATTAAATCAAAAATATGCTATTACAAAAAGAAGCTGCAATGCGGTGGGGCTGATGCCCATAAAACTAATGGAACTGAAAACGATAAAGAGAGGAAAGAAATAATCGAAAAATTAGAAACTTTCCGTTCAATCCTTAAACTGAGTGAAGCAAAAATAAAAGAATTTAATAGAATAAATAAATTGATTGGAAGAGATGAATTTAATAAAGATGAATTTTTAAACTCTATCCAAATTTAATTTTTATTCCTCTTCGACAACGTCTCTTCGAGACGCCGAACCCTTCTGGGTTCTTCTTTCCATCATTACTGCATAACCGCATCTTCTCAGTTTTCGTGGTTTGTTGTTTTTAATTCGTTCTTGCATCATTTTTATCATTTCCTCCCTTGTTATGATTCGTGTTAAATTTTGAGCTTGTGGGGTATCCATTTATATAAAAATAAAATTTTGTTATCAGTTATTTTATCGTTAATGGTTTTTAGGTTATTCAATAATTAATTATTTTTGAAGAACTGAACGTGTCACCACGTCACCATGTGTCACCGGGTTAATTAACTTCTCTTAAAATTACTGACAACATGACATTTAGACAACTAGCCCGGAAATTTGATGCAGTCCAAAAATAAAGTTAGTTTTAAAATTATTTTTATTTTTTTATTCCTATATAAATGACAGCAACAAACAACAACAGCAACTATATCGTTTCTGATGAAAAAGTTATTGATTCATTAGCTGAAGAATTAGTTGTGGCAGAAACTAAAACCCTCAACGAAAGAATTGGTGAAAACAAGATTGATTTACATAACTACCTCAAACACGATGGAGGAAAAGGAAGGAAAACTGGTATGGCTTTATTAGTAAATAAAATTTCAAATTTAACGATTATAGATGTTGATATCAATAAATCATACAATGATGAACTTAAAGAAACAGTTAGAAAAGATATTTTATCAAAACTTTCGGATAAAGATGTTATCGTTAAAACCGCTTCAGGAGGTCTTCACATTTATTGCAACACTAATTTCTTCTATTCAGTTTCGAACAGAATGATTAAATGTTATTCCTGCAATGATTATGATATTGACATAATGACTTCTATGGATGATTCAAAGCGTTCTTTAGTAGTTATGGCTGATTCAAGAGTTCGCAAGAATGCAACAGAACCAATCAATACATACTCATTCATTCGTGGAAGTTACGATTCAACATTAACTAGAACCGTAAACGATATATTAAATGATTTGAATATTAAGGTAAGAGTTGAACAGAAGAATGAAGAAATAAAGACTATCATGAATGAAAACAAAGATGTAAACATTGACGATAAACTTGCCCAGAGCATAGTTGATGGCATCAGTGATTTTGAAGTACATAATGACGGTGGAAACATGAATTTAGAAAAGAAGTTACATTATTCACACTGTTTCAAGCAATTAATTCGTTACCGGATCATTTGATTAATGAAGCATACATAACGTTTATAACTTCTGCAATTTAACTGAAAATGCAAAAAGTAATTTTGAAAAAGCACGTAGTAGATATGCACATTTAATGACTTCTCCATTTGTTTTGGTGAAGATTCTAAAACTATACCAAAAGGAATATTATGATGAATACGTTTTGCCTTTATTACGTAAGCCAAAAATACCATTTGATATAAAACTTGATGATTCATTCTTGATAACAGATATTAGACGCAAGGCTGAAAATCATCAGTATAAAACAGTTCTGAAGTAATTGAGGATTTATCACGTGTAATCCGTTTTGTAGATTGTGGAAACAAATACTTCATTCAGAAAGATTACAACATACACGACAAAATGAATCAAATATCATTCGTTCTTCAATCAAACATGAAAGAGTCACTCAAAATGATTAAATTATTTAAAGAAGAAGGTAAAACCATAACAGCATGGATTACTATTAAATCAATTGTCTTCATTAACCGTTAAGGGTGTTTGCTTTAAATCTGATTCCCCAGATGTTTTCTCAACGTTTCAGGGTTATAAATACAACATTCTTGAAAAGCCTGATTACTCAAAAATTGAAATGTTTATGAATTTCATTAAAGAAGCCATTTGTGATAATAATGATGAAGTGTATAAATACCTTCTCGGCTGGATTGCATCAATGATTCAACATCCTGGAATCAAGAATGAAACAGCAATTATTTTGAAAGGACTTCAGGGAACAGGTAAAAACAGATTTACAGACATTATTTCTGAACTTCTCGCCGGCTATTCAATCAAAAACATTACTGAAATAAGTGAGCTAACGGGTAATTTCAATTCAGTAGTTGAGAATAAAATGTTTCTTGTACTTAATGAACTCAAGAATGTAGGTGAAGATAGACTCGCAAACTTCAACGCTTTGAAATCAATTATTACGGATAATCAAATAAGAATTAATGAAAAGAATCAACCCAGAAGAACAGCACAGAACGTTGCAAACTTCATTTTCGTAACTAACAACGTCTACCCTGTCAAAATTGAAGTTGGAGACAGAAGATACGTAGTTTTAAGAGTTAATGGTAAATTCAAGGGTCAATTTGATTATTTCAAGAATTTGATTAATTCATGCACAAAGGAATTTTATGATAACCTTTTAACATATTTTATGCAATATGACCTTTCATCATTTAAGGATGGGCACTCATTAGGGTGATGAAAAAAATCAAGTCTAGCAAAGTCAATATATTAAAAACAGTGAAGACTATTATATAGCATTATAGTGCACAAGCTCAAATATTTAGTGATGCATTTCTCGAACTTATTTTATTTATAAGTTAACCTTGAAACATGAATTTTAGTATATCATGAGCATATTTTTTTTCTAATTTTGCAATACTTATAATATCATACCAGGATTCATGTGGAAGTCTAATATTTGGTATATAATATTCTTACAATAAATGTATTAATTCAATTATATTCAAAATGATGGGTCGCAATTTTTACTGAAATTGCAAATTTAATTTCAACAATGAAATTATTGTTTAAAAAAAATAGCACAACAGCAAGATGGACAATCATATATAGAATTATAATGCTCCATATAATGCTTTGATTTGATGCGTATATAATGTTATTTTTTCGAATATCTTTGTAAAAAATTGATTTTTGTAATTTTTGAAAAAATTCGATTTTATTTCGAGATTTCCTCTATAGGTGAAGTATATTGAACAATATTCCTATGGGAGAAAATAATTGTAAGTATGAGTACTTTCATTAATACTATGGGTGCCATGGTTATCGCTCAAACGATCAAGTTATATCTCGATTGCGTAAATTGAAATTTTGCTATTTTCTAAATTCACGGCAACAACATTCTTTTATCCTGATCGTACATCACAATATTTGAATGTGCGACCATTTGTTCAAGAAACCGTCAAGTTATTCTTCATTTTTCATGCCGCGGCGAACAAAAGCAGTTGCAAAGCGTATAAAGAACTTAGTTCAAAGCGCGAAAAATAGGGTAGAGCCATATGTCGTCAACACTGTTGAATTTGTGCTATCTGTATTATTGAGCGGCGCTACATTTTGCCAATCAGAATTTCAATTCATGCTGAATAACATCAAAGTTCCGTCAGAAGCTACATTTCATCGAGTCCAAGAAAAGGTTGGTCGTGTTATCATAGAAGTTGCCAGAGAATCTGTTAATTATTGGAAATCTCGAATGAGAAAATGTTCGGGACTTTTGTTTGACGGTTCTTGGAGTCAGAGAAGAAATGCAATGTTTTGCTATGTACAATTTGTAGAAGAGAAACTCAAAAAAATTGTAGATTGGGAAGTGATATCTAAATCTTTTAAAAATTTCAAAGGTAATTTCAACGGAAAATCAAATGAAATGGAATTTGAAGGCTTAAAAAGAATGCTGAAGCGTTGGAATAATGAAAAACGTGTAAATTTTTTTGTGCATGATGGCGATGTCAAAATTGTTTCTACAATCAAAAATACGTTCAAAGGTATCAGAGAATACAGAGATCCTGGACATTTTCTTAACAATATACAGAAAAAGCTCAAACTGCCAGAATTCAGAATCTTATCTAGCATTTCAAAGAATTTATTGCGTTGGCTTAGGCAACTTCTCAATGACACACATATGTCAATTAAAACAAAGAAGTTTTTATGGTTGAATTCCGCTAAACATTATGCCGGAAATCATAAATTTTGTCCAGATCCTGAAAAATGCAAGATGATTAAACCATGGAAATATGCAAAAAATAAAACTGCTATAAAAACACTTAAAAAATTCCTCGAAGATACCGTAAAAATCTTTGATATGGTAAAAAAGATTCATTCAACTCAAGTAGTTGAATCGATAAACCATATCAAAGCAATGCTTGCTAATAAAAATATTAATTGGCATGCTTCTTGGCCAATTAGGATGGCAGTCACAATATTGCATTTCAATGAAAGTATGTTTGAAACGATTGTAGCAATAAGATACAGGTTAAATTTACCAACAATGCCAGAAATGATGAACAGATATTTCAGAATGTATGATACAACAAAAGATTTAATCAAAGCATTCAAAAATTCAAAGCAAGTTCAAAAAAAGTTTGCGGCATTAAGAGCTATAAAGAGAGGTCTTCAAGCTACTGATGATCGTATTACTCTTAAATCACATAAATAATTATTAAATTTATTTCACCCTCAAAACATCATAATCTTGCACCTTCTTTGAATAAACACTTTCACCTTCTATTTTTAATTAATGTTTTTTAATTGTCCAAAATTTTTATATTATATAAGATATAATTTTTTATAAAAGTATTATTTTCTAAAAGATAAGTATATATTCTTAATCACAAAACCTAGCATTTTATCATATCTATATATCAGCTTCCTAAATATAATACTCATATAGTTAGTATGATTTTAATGTTTTTGAACATGAAACGAAAATATGATTACAATCATATAACATAATGGAGTTATTGATATAACTTATATGCATGATACATTAAGAAGTCTTCCAACAATATAGATATAGTTGTAGATTCCTATGATTCCTTTTATATTGTGAGATAATAACATTTTTATGCTGTCAGGAGCCTATGAGTGCCCATCCTTAACGTACGAATCATACCGATGACTGAAGCCAAACAAGATTTAATAGAATTATCAACAAATCCTTTAGATGAATGGATAAATACACATTATGATGAATTGTGTGCAGGTATGACGTGTAAAAATGCTCTATGCTGCAAACCATCAGACATGAAAGACAAAAACTTTCAAATGAGCATTAAAGATAAATGTGAAAGGAAACAGAGAAGAATAGATGGTAAACAAACATGGTGTTATGTTTTGAAAGAAGAAATGAAAGGATTATATAAACAGGTTGAACCAAACGATAATGAGGATTCATTTACTGACGATGAAATACCTGTAAATGAGCCGCTAAGCGGCGAGACCTGAAGGTCTTGCAGTATAAAGTATGATTGGAATTTATTTTTGCATTAATCCTGCTGTGATGTCTAAATGTCATGTTGTCAGTAATTTTAAGAGAAGTTAATTAACCCGGTGACACATGGTGACACGTTCAGTTCTTCAAAAATAATTAATTATTGAATAACCTAAAAACCATTAACGATAAAATATATTTTTGGTGTAAATTTTATTAAGTTCATCTTTAGTTAATTTGAATGGATTCGCTAATGTTCCACCTTGAGCCACAACACTTGCCCCGGCTAATTGTGAAGAACCTGGGATAAGTACTCCATGAAATGATTTCATTGGTATCATTAATTTAGAAATAGTTGGCTTAATTAATTTTGTCATTTATGATAAAAATAAAATTGCATAATTTAAATTTTTTTCTTTCTCATTTTCTCATTTTTCTCTTTTTTCATCCTGTTTTGGTTTCAGCAACTTTTCAAGTTGTTGTCAGTAACTTTAATTTTAACTTTGGATCAAATATTGGGTTTCCATCTTTATCTCTTCCAATAACACCATATGGTAGAATCTTCATTTATACTAAAATAAAAATTTAAATTATGCCGTTCTAAAGTTTGTGAAACAAACATTGAGCGTTCATTGAACGCGAAACCATGCATAAACTGTCATATAAGGTGGCATATAATCTTCACCCGAGCCTGTTGGATTTGTTGTGAAAGTATGGACATGATTTCCTCCTGGTTCAGTTGGTCGAAAAGTCTTTTTTGCTGAATTGTTATAAGATGGAGATAAAACGTCATTGCCAGCTTTATAGTCTGAGTTGTATAATGGGTGGTCTCTTAATGAGTGGCTATGGTCGCCAGAAAAGTTTGTCGTTCCTGTATGAGTGTGCGCAGATAAGTTTGCTTCTTTAATTTTCTTTGAGCCTCCTGTTTGCTTTGAAGAGTTAGCACAGTATAAGAATTTATCTACAATCTGCTGCCATGTACCGAAACCGAATACATCAGCTGGATTTGTTGAATTCATTGATGTATATATTGAACCAATGGGGTAAATCATCTCAAGAATTGTATTTAATCCATTATGAATATTGAATTTATTATATAATATTGAATTTGGGTGAGTATTTAAAACTGGTCTTGTTATCAATATTAACGTATTATTTTTGAAAATTGCTTTTCTAACATCTTGAAATTTTGTGATTTCAGACCAATTTCTTCCATCACTACTGATATTTACTAAATCACCACATCCAAAAGCAATGAAATACCCATCAATATAAAATAAATTTGTAAATCTATAATTTCGAGTAAGTTTTGGAGTGAATGAATAAACCAATTCCCAACTTGGTGTTTTCTCTGGATCCTCTGAAAAATCCTGTGATAAATAAATATGTCTGTTATAACTTACAGGATATGAATAGACCATACCACCTGAAACAAGAACACAAACATTTGAAGCATAACATAAAGCTTCAATGTCTCCATCAGCTTGAAAAATTTGTTCAAAACGACCAAATGGTATTGAATATGATCTATAAATTTTATCATTTTGTAGGATAAAATACATGTTGTTAATGTAATACCACTTACTTGTATAATCAATTTCCAAATCTGATGACATCATACTAAACATATAATAATTTATCCCATCCTCACTAATGAAAATTTGATTGACTTCATAAATTAGTACCCATTTATTATTAACGCATCTAATAGGATTATTTGGATATTTAAATTTAGCATCTTGATTTAAATTACATTTGAACCATTGGATACAATCGAATGAATAACAAGGGCAAAAATCATCTCCAACCGTTATCATTCCATAAATTTACCGTTATTATATTCAACATATAAAATTCTTGGATTAATGATTGGCTTTCGTGTATCAGGATTCCAAACAGATGGAGTAAATGATTCATAGTTTTTAAAATCATTTGTTTTAAAATAATAAAACACTCCAGCTGTATAAAATAAATACGTGGTCACTCCATCATAACATATCCATTCAAAAGAATCTATATCAAAGGTTTTATCCGATGATTTCATAAAATTTAAAAATGGTGGAGTAAAATAGACCTCTGATTGTTTTATTTCTTCATTAACAAATAATATATCAGCTTTCTTTGCTAACTCAGTATTAATGAATGAAATAACTTTTTCCTTATCTGCTTTCTTCTCTAACTCATCGTTAACATAAGTTTTATCTGCTTTCTTCTCTAATTCATCATTAACATAAGTTTTATCTGCTTTAAGGTCTAAACATCCTGAAACCCATTCTGTATCAGCTTTAACTTTAAAAGTCTCCAATGTCCATTCATGATACCATTCAACCTTTTCTTTAATTTCATTATCTTTTTCATCAACATAAACCAAATGTGCCTTCTTATTTAATTCAGTATTAACGTATTCCTTATCTGCTTTCTTATTTAATTCAGTATTAACGTATTTCTTATCTGCTTTCTTCATTAATTCAGTATTAACGTATTCCTTATCTACCTTCTTATTTAATTCAGTATTAACGTATTCCTTATCTGCTTTCTTCATTAACTCACTATCCACATATTCCTTATCCACCTTCTTCATTATGTCATTTAGGAAACCTTCTATGAATTCCTCATTTAAATTAAATCTTCCAATCTTCAAAACTTTAGGAAATGCATTTAATGCGTAATATCTCTGTTCTTCTGGTGGAATTGATGTTATATCATCCGTTATTCCTTTAATTTTTGAATTCATAAATAAAATTTCTTTTATATTTGATATCACTGCACCACCTTTGCAAACGAATTCGAAATGGTCATTTTTCAATACTATCTCCAAATCTCCATATTTCAACCTTTGCGTTTGTTCTGCCGTCTTTGAATTATATGCATATGTGGCGTATGTAATGGTCTGAAGGACCTGGGCGCTTTGCGCCTTAAGTTGCTGTTGTTTAATCATTTATTACGATTTAAAAATAAATATTTAATCCGTTATCTCATCAGCTATTTTCTCTATTTGAAATTGCCATAATATTTCATTCATAAATTCTAAATCACAATCAAATAGGTCAGTTATTCTAAATTTAATATTTGATAAATCTTTTGAATGAAGAATAAATGAATTCCCGGATAATTGAAACGGATATGATAAAGAAAATGTGTTTAAGTTGATGGATAAAATGTTTTGTATTGATGGGTAAGAGTTAGGGTCTAATGTTTGATGTGAAAATCTCATTGGGGTATTAACTTTATCACATTTGATTAAAATGAAATTGGAACCAGTGTCAGAATACAAAACATCCCCAACATCTTTTTCAAAATTTAATATCCCCAACAATGAACGAAGATGAGGAGTACAAAATTTAATTTTCAGCGGAAATTTAATAAGGTTATTTATTTCATCAAGTTCAAAAAGTTTATCAGGTTTTGATTTAAAATTTTCTTCATACCATACGATAAATGATTCATTTAAATAACTTAAAATCATGTTAATATCCCATTTCGCTATCACATTATTTATATACATATCATACGTTTTTTCAAGGTCATCTTTAATAAATGATATATAATCTGAAGGGTCTAAAAGAATGGGATTAAATTTACCACTCACAGAAACGAGAGTAACATTATAAATTCCGCTAACTGTTAAATTTAATTCACAGTTATTATTCGAAATAATATTGATAATTGACATTTTTTATTACGATTAAAAATATGGTAAAGCGTTATTTTCCAGTGATAAATAAAACTAGAATAAGATTACCTCAAGAATTCATAAATTCAACGAATAAGAAATTCATTCATGTTATAAATTTTAGTGTTTTCAGAAAATATGAGTCAGTGTCATATTCATCAACAGGTTATATTTCACTTCATTCAAATTTAGTTCAATCAAACCCATATAATGACCATTTCATAAGATTTTCAGATGGTATTAAAAATGTAATTGATAGATTAAAATATGAACAGATTGACAATATCGAATTTTTGGAATTTTGGTTTAAATATCCCGATGGAAAAAAGATTGAAGTTAAAGATAAAGCTGATACTATAACAAAAACAATTACAATGACCGATCCGGATAGTGGGGAACAAAAAGAAATAAAACAAACGATAGAAACTGGTGAAAGGTCAATTATTATTGATTATGATTCAAAGGATTATTATTCGATAATGTTAATGCTTGAATATTAAATAGCCTTAACAAAGAATTTTTCAAGTGATATTTTATATTCATCAACTATTTTATTATAAATATCATTATATGTTAAATGAAGTTCAGTTGTTGTTCCGTTCTTTGATATCTTAATTGTGCTAATATCCTTTATAGGATTTATTTTTGCAACTGTTCCGCAGCATGAAACCTCATCATCTATGAAAAATTGAATCTTAACGTCTGAATCTTGAACATCACAAAGAATGGCATAATGTGAATTAATGATTCATAAGGTAAAATAATTAAACCGGATTGATCAATTAAATTTATTATTGAATCATAATTATTAATTATTATATCACGGTAAATTTTCATTAATTCAGAATTAATGTCTATTTTATATGGGTTCTCGATGTTTGATGAAAGAGGCGGGGGTATGTTGGATAAGTGGGAATTTCAACAGGTTCTTTACCGGGTTCAGATAAAATGATTGGGTCTCCATCTTCTTTATTTTGCTCCTCCTCCTTTTTCGGTAAGTCACGAGTTAATAAATTTGGTTGAGTTGCTGACCTTGTTAATTCAGGGCTAACATTAACTTTAACATTTTGAATAATTCGTGATTTATCATCATTTACGTTATAACCAACCGTAATCTCTGCTTTTGCGTTAGTGTTCTTTTGACTAGTGAAACGTCTTCTCATTTATAATCGAATAAAAAAATATATTTAAACTTTTATTTTGCTGGAAGTTTTGAATCTATTATTCCCTGTATTTGTTCTTGAAGTTGATTTTTAGCTGGTTCATTGTAATTAATAGACCTAATATATTCATTAATTGCATTCTTATAATCATCTGATTTCTCAAATTTTCTTTTATCTGATTCCTTAACTAAATCATAAGTTAAACCTCGTTGCTGATATAATGGTTTCTTAATTAAATCTTTGAATGCTTGAGATAAAGCACCTGATGCAATTCTTGCTACTATAATTGGTTGGAATTGATGTTTAAGTTCATCTTTAACATTTGCGAAAACTGGATCGAATAAAGCAACTTTAAAGAATTTCTTAGCTGAAATTTCAGGTCTAATATTTGCATATTGACCATCAAACTGGTTAGAATATCGTGGTAATCCATCCGGTCCCTCTTCAATAGCATTTAATTCTTCATTGAAATAAGAATATGGATTATAACGGTATGAATTAATTTTCACCATGTATTGTTTAACACACTCTTTTTCCATTCAGCTTTTCCATTTCATCAAATTGCATAGGATAACGTTCATTATATGCTTTACGTTTAGGATAATCAGTTATAGTTAATTTATAACCATTTATGACTTTAATATTACCTTGACCATCAGTAACGAAAACTTCATTTATACCATCAGGTTTTCCATTTGGACCCGTAATGTCTGCTTCGTGTGCTTCCCAATTTGGACCTTGACGTTTGGCATATGCTTGAGCTTCTGGTAATGTTAAAACGTTTCTCATTTGTTTAACATCTTTTTGAAGACCAGCAACAATATGAACTAATTCTTTCATTCCATCAGGAACTTTCATAGTTCTATTATATGCACCCTTTTTGTTTGTTCCTTGTTTTAATGGAACCTGTAGAAGATTTGCTATTTCTGTCATGTTTAATTATAAATAAAAAATAAAAATTAATTATAAAAAGTTAATCAAATTTAACACTCCTTTATTTAAATCAACTATTATTTTTCCATGTTCACCTAATTGCTGATATTGTGTGTAAAGTTCATTAATGCTCATTGGTAAATTCACTTGATAAAGCATAACGTTCAACTGTTGACGACTAAACCCACTGAAAATGAAAAGGTTGATAGATTTGATTTAATGTTTGTGCTTAATGCTTTGAAGTATTGAACAGCCATAAAGAATGAACACTGAATGTGTCGACATTGAGTTAATAACTGATTAAAATATGATTTCTCATTTGTTATTAGTTTTGATTTCACTGCATCATCTAGAAAAATGAGTGAATGCAAAAATTCTCTATCAAAATTTGAAATAGAAAGTGTTTCAAATAATTCATCCCGTTGTTTATCAATAATTTTATCCTCTAATCCTTGCTTCTTGATTGTATTATATAATTCTTTATACATTAAAAAGTTTTTTAAATAATCTTCTGCTTCTTCTTGTGATAAATAAATAATTGGAATTTTGATTAAATGCTTTAAAGATTCAAATGTATCATCTGAAGGTGAACCTGAACGGTTGATATAAATTAACACATGTGAATAGGGGGAAGTGTTAGCAATAATGATAATTTGTTTTAATATCGTTAATGTTTTACCTTTATTTGTTTACCAATTGCTGCAGTGATTGAATTTAAGTAACATTCAGAATATGGAATTTTCATTAATTTTTCCTTAGATAGAGCATTTCTATTATCACTCAATGCTTCATTAATCATATCATCTATGTATGTATTATATACTCCTGCTAATTCTTCATAAGGAGTGTA